AAAAAAATAAAATAAAATAAAATAAAAATACAAACTCTCCCTTCTGAAGTGTACAGCTCAGAACTGGAGAGATGGCTCAGCCGTTATGAGCATGTTGCTCTTCCAGAGGACCTCAGTTGGATTCCCAGCACCGGCATGAGGCAGCTCCTATATTCATAAGAACACACCTGTATAGAGACACACATATGCATGATTTAAAAACAAAATGAAGTTGGGTGGTGGTGACACATACCTTCTTTTTTGTTGTTGTTATAAACGGATTGACCCATTAGCTTAGGCTTTTTATGTACTAATTCTTATAACTTACATTAGTCCATAACTCTTGGGTGATGAACACCTTTAATCCCAGCACTTAGGAGGCAGAGGCAGGTTTATCTCTGTGAGCTCAAGGCCAGCTTGATCTACAAAGCTAGGTCCAGGACAGCAAGGTCTGCTACACAGAGAAACTCTGTCCTAAACACACACACACAAATAAATTAAAGAATTATATTTTTAAAATAAAGCATACAACTTTTTATTTTCTTATTTTTAAAATAAAGCATGCAGTGGCCTTTAGGATATTTGTCTCTGTCTAATTCCAGAACACTTACACTCCAACTATAAGCTTCTCATGAACCAACAGTCACTTCCTAGTCTTCTGGAACTCCATAAAACTGCTTAGATGCTTTCTCTGTTAATGGATTGGTCGGTGGAAACTGCATATTGTGGCCTTCGCAGCTGGCTTTCCTACCCGTTTTCAGGGATAATAACGTTGTAGCAAATGTCAGTATTTTATTCCTTTTTTCCTTTAAAAAAGTTACTGCTAGCTAGGCGGCGGTGGTGCACACCTTTAATGCCAGCACTGGTAAGGCAGAGGCAGGTGAGCCTCTGAGTTAGAGGCCAGCGGTCACCCAGGGCCACACAGAGAAACTCTGTCCCCAAAAAACAAAAACTAAAACAAAACCCAAAATTTACTATTATTGTTTATATATGCGTGCACGATGTGTGTGAGAGAGGATGCAAGTGCAGGCACACCCGTTCACATCTGCGTGTAGGTCCCAGAGATAAATCTCAGGTTGTTAGGACTAACGATTGAGTTCTCTTGCTGTACCTAGATGGCTTTATTTTGATTTGGGGGGGGGGGGGTAGGTATCTTCAATGTGCACCAGACTGATCTTTAACTTGATACTGGCGCTTAGGTTGGACTCTAACTTTTGATCTTCCTCCTCAGACTCCTGAGTCCTGGGGCCCATGCGGGCTTTATGATAGAGCCCTAATCACTCTTTATGTATTCTGGATACTAGTTCCTCAGGCACACGGATTATTTTACATATTCCATTGGTTCGTTTTATGGACTGTAAGAAGAGAGATCAAGGAAACGCAGGTGAACACAAACAAAGGACACAAGATTGATACTCCACACTCTAAACAAACCCCCTGCAAGCCCTGGGCTAACGGAGGACTTGGCACCCTGGTACCCAGGAGTTGCCAGTCGGCCCCGCCCCTCGCTCTTTGACCCACGCCGTTTCCGGTTGGAGACGTGGCTTGGGTCCGCCATCTTGGCCAGAGGCGAAGCGGCGGAGGCTCCTGTCAGGGGCAGCAGGTCCGGAGCGGCCCGAGCTCCGCTTCCCTGGGCTGCAGCCCGAGCCGCAGCGGAGCCAGAGCGTGGTGCGCCCCACCTGCGGCCTCACCATGGTAAGCGCCGAGGCCGGGTCCTCTCGCCCTGTCCCCGCCGGTCGGGCCCGGATGGCAGGAGCCGCGCCCGCAGCCCCGCTGGTGGCCCGGGCTTGGCGCGGCCTCCGGGGGAAACTGGAGCGAGCTGCCGCGCCCACCGGGCCTCCGCCGGCCACACTGCCGCGTCCTGCCGCCCGCCCGTCACCGCGACCCAGCCGGGCGGGTGGCTGTCGCCTGGGCCTTCCGCCCTCCCGTCCTTCCCGCCGGTTCCCTGCGAGCTCCGGCTCGGCGAGGCCGGGCCTGTCGGCAGCTCCTCGTCCCCCTGTCACCACCTCGTCCGTTTCAGCTTCTTTTTGTTTTGTTTTACTCGAAAGGGGGAAGTGGAGGTAGCAGGGAAGGAGTAAGTTCGGACGCTCGTGTGTAGGACCCAGGTGTCCCCGGAGCGTCTGTCCCGGGGTAGCGCGGACGTGTGACTTTGGCAGCGAGGCCGAGTGGACAGTGTATAGAACATTGAGAAATGGGGTGACACACACGGGTTTCTGTCTTCGGGGAACCTACTAGTATTCGGGTGGAGTGACATGCGTGTGGCTTGTTGTAATCGGGGTTCTCGGCTGGAGGAGAAGGGGTGAGCTGTACTTGGGGACCTCCGCAGGCTTGGTCTTTTCGTCCTCATCTGTTACGGAGATCGGAGAATGACTGTGGGTGAGGATGGGGGAAAGCAGAATTGACTCCGCCAGACCCCGCTGTATCAGCTAAATCTGGATATTCGGGAACTAGAAGAGATTCTATGGCTTCCAAGGAGCTAGTAATTTTTATCTTTTAAATTTTTTTTTTTTGAGTTACTTGAAAGCATACCTAAGGTCCAACAGACTTATTTTGGTACTTGTCATACGTACTGAGTTCTACTGACAACTCTTTCAATAAGAACTTGGTTAGAGGAGAGATTCATGTTTGGTCTTTAAACCGTTGGAAGTTCCTTTTCCAGCCTCAGGTGTATGAATTACATTAAGTAGGTTGGCCTCCCCAGTTTTGGTTTTAGACATATATTTCCAAAATCTCATATACCCACCCCAAGTCCCAATTCCACAAGGTTACTTTCTTTGTTTTTGTTTGTTCGTATGGTTTTTCTTCTATTTTTAAGATGCTTTTATTTTATGTGTATGAAGTGATTTGCTCATTTGTATGTATGTCTTGTGCACCACCTGAAGGGGGTGTTGGATTCCTTGGAACTGAAGTATGGACACTTGCCAATCTCCCTGTGGGTGCAGGGGAGCTAACCCAAGTCCTCTTCAAGAACAAGTGCTCTTAACTGAGCCACCTCTCCAGCCTCCGTTCTTTAGAGAGAGTGTTTCTCACTATGTCCTCTGGCTGTTCTGAAACTCACTGTGCTAACCAGACTGACCTCTCTGCCTTCCCAGCACTGGAATTAAGGTGTGCACCACCACTACTGGCGTGGATAGTGATTTCTTTTACGTTTTGGGGAGTATTCATAGTGTATGTTAGAGTATGTTGTTTCAGTATTGAAACTAGAGCCTTAGGAAACCAAATACAGGTCTTTATCAAATCTTGTTTATTAAAATGTTCTTAGAACTTTAAGATTTTAAATTCACTGATAATTGAGGGAACAGACCAGGCGACAGTGGCTCACACCTTTAATCCCCGCACTCTGAGATAGAGGCAGGTGAATCAATGAATTTGATGCCAGCCTGGTTAACAGAGAGAGTTCCAGGGCAGCCAAGGCTACATATTGAGACTATGTCTCAAAAATCAAAAAGCAGACAGACAAACAAAAAAGATAATTGAGGAACAGTAGAGCTCTAGGTGTTAAGTGATATGTGTGCTTAGATACATATATATGTGTGTGTATTTATATGTGTATATATGTACTTTTTTGCTTGTCCTTTTGATGTGTATACATAATATAGCTGTGTCCTGTCTTTCTGAATTAGAGACTTAGCATGATCCAGATATCCAGACTTGTATGTTGTGGAGAGTAGTTTATCTCAGTACAATCTGCACTGTCAAGTCAAAGACTTGGTATTCTGTTAATGTTTCTGGGCCCTACTTAATTACAAAAAGATCCTTGTATCATAGCATTGCCCAAGTGGGGTGAAATTTTGATCTCAAAGTTGCACCAAAATTTCTAGAAGTAGTCTTTCCTTAACAATTTTTATTAAGACTTTCAAACATTTGGAAATTTTGAGGGAATCTTACACGGACCAGTCATGTAACTACCAACTAGTTTCTTTTAGCATTTCACTGTAATTATTTTATCACACACCTAATCATGCATCATTAAAACATATTTCAGATTAAGTTAATACGTACATAAACATTGTTTTTGAAAAATAAATTTTCATTGACTTTAGTTACTGAGTATCAATGCAAACTTGTAGACTGCAGTCACTGTAGATATGCAAAGTGCAAAAGTGGCTCATAACATGAATTACAAAAGGAAATACTTTGTAATTTTTTTTTCTTTAATCAGATGGAGTTCAGCCTGGCCTGAAACTCACTGTCTTCTTTCAGTTTCCTGACATACTTGGTTACATTAGCTGAAATGCATCTTCTGATTTGTCCTTTTTTCTTAGTTTTCTTAGGATTTGCCAAATATCATTATAATATTTGTTTAAACTTACATTTGAAGCCGGGCGGTGGTGGCGCACGCCTTTAATCCCAGCACTCGGGAGGCAGAGGCAGGCGGATCTCTGGGAGTTCGAGGCCAGCCTGGTCTACAAGAGCTAGTTCCGGGACAGGCACCAAAGCTACAGAGAAACCCTGTCTCGAA